ATATATATATATATATATATATATATATATATATTTGTATATATATATATATATATATATATATGTATATACATATATATGTGTATATATACATATATATCTATTATCATTTATTTATTTTATTTTATTTTATTTTATTTTGTTTATTACTTTGAATTTTTTAAACGAGGAAGTTTAATTCATGCGGTGTGCGTACAGCTGACAGCTGATGAAGGGATTGGCGTTTATAGACGGAAGATAAATTTCTTTTCTTTTTAAAATATAAAAACAAATTAATTTATTTATTTGTTTTAGCTTGGAAGCACTTTAAGTCCTAGAGCAGAAGAGTAGGAAGAGTGTAAGAAACTGAGAAAGAAAAGAGTAGAAGATATCATTAATGTTTTATCTCTTTCACGCTTTTTATTTAAATTTATTATTCGGGTCTATGCAATTAAAAAGAATTTCTTTTTAGGCAGCGACATGCGAAAGAAGAGATGAAAACAAACAAACTTTGAAAAAGAAAGAGAGAAGATAGTTAACAAGGCATATATATACATGTATGCACATATATATATATATATATATATATTTATATGTTTATATATTTGTATATATAGATATTTGTTTTTGCCTCTGTTTATTTATTTACAACAATTCATCGATGCTTTGTTTATATTTAAATAATTATTATTTTCCTCTAATAGACGGAGTGCCTGCCCAGCTTAGTGTTGCTGCATACACCTCAGTTAAATGAAACATAAAGAAACGAAAAGCAATTAAATATAGTTAAATGCAATTAGATACAATAAATAACGAATAAACAATTTGTAATAAGATAAAGTAATTATACTTTAAAAGGATATTCATCAGCACGAGGAAATGTTTATTTTTTCGTCTTGCACAAGGAAGACCTCCTGATTTTCTTTTTTGTTTATTTCTCGCGTCTGTTATTTAAAAGTTAATAAATAAAATAATTATATTTTTATTTTTTTATTTTTTTCAGTGTGCAAGGGAAACTGCTGATGGCTGTTTAGTCTAGTGGTATGATTCTCGCTTAGGGTGCGAGAGGTCCCGGGTTCAATTCCCGGAACAGCCCCTTTAAATAATTTAAATAAATTTTTGCTTTTATTACCAGCTATAATTAGCAAATAAAAGAAGGCAGCATTAATAGATGCAACAGCAGAAAAAGAGCAGCGAAATGGTTTATAATTATAGATAAATTAAATTTAAAAAAAAACAGACGATATATTGAAGTTGTTTATTACTGGTTAAACCCTTCTTTCTTCTGCAACTCTTTAAACATATCCCAACTCCAACGAACACTAAGACGCATTTGCTGCCTCTCACTTAGCCCAGCGGTTGCTCCTCCAGGGCTCAGTCTTCCTATTAAGGGGTGTGAAGAGAAAGGAAAGAGAGGACGTTCATCTGGAGCAAACTCGCTGTTTGTAAAGATATTATAAGGGTCTCTATATATCTTTACATCGCATGCAGCCCCAAAACTCTTCTCATTTTTATGTTCAGAAGGGGGTAGAGGCGGAGGCAGAGGAGCAAAGAAATCATCAAGAGGAACATCTGCAGGCTGCAACACAATTAAAAACAAATAAAAAGAACAGCTGAATAAACATTCAGAGGCTGTAGTGTTGTTGCTGCTGCTTCTGCTGCTTGTTGTTGCTGCTGTTGTTGCTGCTGCTGCTAGTTGTTGTTGCTGTTTTTGCTGCTGCTGCTGCTGCTGCTGCTGTTGCTGTTTGCCTTGAATAAATTAAAAATAGGTTTCGAGACAGAGACAGAGAGACAAACAAACTAAAAACCTTAACGCACATCTGTCCACTGTGGAGGTGTATATACACTCGGAGCTTCTTCTAGCAGTCGAGCGCGCAGACCCTCAATCAAATCTTTGCTTGTCTACACAAAAGAAAGAAATATCAAGAGGATAACAAATAAAAAGAAGAGGTAAATGAAAGAAAAAGAAGCAAAAGAAAGAGCGAGGAAGCCAAAGGAGACAGCAGAAGAAACACCACAGTATCACATTATAGAACGGGCAAAACTCCAACAAATGAAAACCCTAAACCCTAAACCCTAAACCCTAAACCCCAGAAGACCCTAGAAGACCCTAGAAGACCCTAGACCCTAGAAGACGCTAAACCCTAAACCCTAAACCCTGCGTACACAAATTAAGCGAATAGCAACCCTCATTTCATTTTCCAGTGCATGCAGCAGCAGCTCCTCATCGACGGCCTCTAAAATTTGTCTTTTGCTGTCATCTTCCACGGTGCTGGGCAGCACGCACTCTAAACGCTTTATCCTATACACATACAACAAAACCCTAAACCCTAAACCCTAAACCCTAGCTTTAAACCCTAAACCCCAAACAATGAGCCGTGTTTATAGTACCCTAAGCACTAAACACTAAACCCTACACCCTAACCCTAATCCCTAAACTCCGAAAGCAAAACCCTAAACCCTAAATCCTAAACCCTAAACCCTAAACCCTAAGAAGCCCTACTCGCGCCACTCGTAGGGTGTTATGCCTGCATCGTCGAGTATCTCCTGCTGCAGCCTCTTTTGTCGCTGCAGCAACTCCAGCGTGAGCTGTACGTACACCCAACACCCCACAGAGCCAAACCCTAAACCCTAAACCCTAAGCCCTAAACCCTGAGCCGTAAACATCCGTCCGTCGGGCATGCACTATCTTATATGTATGGCTTTGTAGGGCTTAGGGTTTGGGCTTGCTAGGGTTTAGGGTTTAGGGTTTAGGGTTACCTTAAGGGCCAAAGGAGACCTCTTTCGAATGCGTGAAGCAACAGCTGCTGCCCATGACGCCAATCGCTGCTTTGAGAGGAGACAGCGATGAAGACGAGGAGGAGGAGAGAAAGAAGCTGTTAAATCGAGTGCATGCAGCACCTCTTCCAGCTGCGCATACACCCCAACAACAAAGATAAAATATTGAAGCCAAATCACAACTACTTTACTGTAGACACTAAAAAGAAAATATACGACCCCCAAAAGTACACCCTAAATCCTAAACACTAAACCCTAAACCCTAGACCTAAAACCCTAAACCCTATACCCTGTACCCTAAAACCCTTCTCACTCTAAACCCTAAACCCTAAAAGCGAAATCAACAACCCTAGAGCCTAAAGACCAAACTTTAAATCCCGCAACCCTAAACCCTAAACCCTAGCGTACAGTGGAGTGGTGGAAGTGTTCGTCGATGACCTCCTCCCAAGCATCGAGTGAATATTCATCTGTTGTTGGCAGCAAGCAAACAAAACCGTAAACCCTAAACCCTAAACCCTAAACCCTAAAACTAAACACAAACAAGTGCATTAAAAATGAAACCAAACTCCACCTGAAAGAAACACCTTAGCATAATGTTCATACGTACATAAACCCTTAAAAAACTAAACCCTAAACCCTAAACCCTAAGCCCTAAACCCTAATAAATAGATAAACTTTACCTGGAGGGTCTAGGAAATGTTCTTCTATTAATGCCTTGGCGTCTTGCTCTGATACCTCCAGCTGCTTCTGCAAGATAAACAATAAATAAATATAGATAGATAGAGAAATAAAGAGATAAAGACAGATATAAAGGTATAGATAGAGTAAGAAATAAACAGGGATTAGACAGACAGACAAGCAAACAAACAAACAAACAAACAAACACCTCTGCATGAGGATGCATTTAAATAGAAGAAATATGATATATATATACATATTTAAAAATATATATCTCTGCATGCACTCGCCATACACTCCAAACAACTGGCTGAACTCTTCTGCATGCATTTAAGTCTTTCACGTTTTGTACGCAAGACAAACCACTACCAGAAGCTCTTGCTGCTGCTGCTACTTCTGCTGCTGCTACTTCTTCTGCTGCTGCTGCAACTACTACTACTACTACTACTACTGCTGCTGTTACTTCTGCTGCTGCTGCTGCTGCTACTAGTGCTGCTGCTGTTGTTCTCACCTCTGCTGTTGCCTCCATAAATGGAAGTGCCTCAGGAGACACCCAATACTTGCAGAGGCCAGACCAGCTGCATCAGTAGAAGCAGCAGCACAAGCAGCAGCAGCAGCAGAAGCAGCAGCAGCAGCAGCAGAGCTATACACTTTTGCAAGCGGCCACCCAACCCCCCTTTCCCTCTTTCTATATCCCCTTAGCCCATGTCTGCGCGCAGCAGCACGTTGCTGCATGCAGCAGCAGCAGCAGCAGCAGCAGCAGCAGCACCCGCAGCAGCAGCAGCAGCAGGATACGTACACTAGATCTTGAGCTGTGAGTTGGTGGCCAGTGAGAGCGAGGAATTTCCCCAGAGAGCCGCGGAGGCGACCCAACGCAAAACTCAAACCCAATGTCGGAATGAAACCCCACGCTGTGCATAAGCGCAGCAGCAGCAGCAGCAGCAGCAGCAGCAGCAACATAAGCAAAAGCTGCAGGAGATGCAACGGCAACAGATGCTGCAGGAGATGCGGCAGCAACAGATGCTGCAGGAGATGCAGCAGCAACAGATGCAGCAGCAGCAGCGGCAGCATCATCATCAGCAGCAGCAGCAGCAGGAGCGAAAGCTACTGCAGCAACAACAGCAGCAGCAGCAACAGCAGCTGTGTTCATCACTGACACGTGGTGTCGCATGCAAAGGCTGAGTGTTTGTATGCCGCGCTGCGGTTGGAGAGAAAACAAATAGAAGCTCCTTCACCCTCTGCATACAGCAGCAGATTAATTTATTTTAATTAACAGTGTGCTTCTAACTCTTGAGGGTCTAGTCAATCTAGGGTTTAGGGTTTGGGGTTTGTTAGGGTTTAGGGTTTATTAGGGTCTGCAGGACCTAATGCCCAGCAGATAGACACACTCAGGGCTAGGGTTTAGGGTATAGTGTTTGGGTTTAGGGTTAGGGTTTAGGGCATAGGGATAGGGTTTATGGATAGGGTTTCAGGGTATAGTGTTAGGGGTAAGGGTTAGGGTTTAGGGTTTAGGGTTTAGGGTTTAGGGTGAGGGTATAAGGTAAGGGCTAGGGTCTATAGGGTTAGGGATTACGATAACGATTAGGGTTTAGGGTTTAGGGTTTACCAGCTACTCCATTAAGAAGTGTAATGAGGGGTTTAGGAGATGCATGCGCTGCTGCATGCAGCTCGAAGGCGTTGTGCAGCAGCCACAAAGCTGAAGAAGGAAGACAGCCGTGTAGAGGCCCTTGACATACTTCTGCATATGCGAGCAGATCTGCGTAAAAATAAATAAAACAAAATAAATAATAATTAATAAATGCAAATTAATTAATCTAACTAATGCTTATTAAGTGTATATATATATATATATATATATATATTATGTCAACGCGGTAATTCATTTGTTTATTCGTTTCTTTGTTT